AGAGAATAAAATCGGAACTCCATCCATGTTCAAGACCCTCCACAATCTGCCAGCTCTGTGCTTTTTTTTTTTAATAAAAATTTTAAGTTATAGACTTAGCAATCATCACCAAATATAAATATTCCAATACACAAAAATAGGATTTCATATGAAACTGTGGTCCTCTTTTCCATATGATTTGTTTTTTAAGTGTTTTTAAAATTGAACAAGGTAGTGACAAAATGGCCCTATTTATATTCCCTACTGAATCTTTTGTTTTCCTTTTCTTGGAACTCCATAGCATTAGTTCTATACTTATCATGTATTATCATGCAATATCATGATTTATATGATCCTCTTACTAGACTGTAAGCTCCATACAAAAATTTAATTTTTAATTTAAAATTTTAAAATTAAAATTCAAATTTTTTTAATTTAAAAATGGAAATTTTTAAAATTTAATTTAATTTAATTTTAATTTTAATTTTAAATTTTAAATTAAAAAAAAATTTTGACACTAAGTCTCTCCCTTTCTCACTCAGGCTTGAAGTGCAGTGGCCTGACCCCACTGTTTTTTGTTTTTTGTTTTTTTGTCAAATCTTTATTGGGTAAATGGGGAAGGTTGACAGGGTCCAGCTTAGTCTTTCTTGGCAGTAGCCTTCCTCATGGCAGCTAGGACATTGCTGAGCTCCTCTCTCTTCCTCTTGGCCCAGATGTGAGTTCCCACCCTTTTTTTGATGAACTTAAGGGCTTGCTTATCCTTGGAGACCTTTAACAATTCCATGGCCCGCCTCTCATAAGGGGCAAATCCACACACCTCCTGGATCATATCTCTCACAAACTTGGTGTGTTTGGTCAAGGGCCCACGGCGGCGGCAGTGTCGCAGCTTCAAACCGTTTTTGGTAACTTTGTGGCCCTTGTTGAGGCCTATGGCCATGGGGTATTGGATGGCCATGGCTGCGGCGCGTAGGCCCAAAGGCAGCCACCAGAAGGAAGGAGAGAGCGTTGAACTCTCCTGACCCCACTGTTGATCGCCACTGAAGCACTGACCTGCTATATCTCCTACCTGGGCCAGTTTGCCCCTCCTTAGGTAACTTGATAGCCCACTGATCACAGGGGCTCACCGTACTGGTTCCAGACTTAGTATGAACACCAGATAGGTTTTAGCCCTATGATAGCTCAGTAAATCTGAACTAAAGAAATCTACCTGCCTCAACTTTCCCAATAGCAGAGTCTATAGGCATATGCTACCACACTCAGTTACTTATTGTGTTTCATGTATTTATTTTTCCTATTACTTACTCCTAGTCCAATGCTCTGCCTAAAGTAGGTGCCTAATAAATGTTTACTGACTTGAAGGTGCTAATACCTCACAGTACTCTGACATGCTATTAAGCCCAGCTCTAAGAGTAGTAGAGGTGGGTCATCTATCTATGCTACTGCTGCATGGTTTGTGAAGAAAAAGGGAAATAGATGCTAGTTTCTCTCCAAATCTTGAGCGTATCATCCCCCTAACTTACTGGGTTTAAGACTTGTTGGTTACCCTCAACTTGATTCAGTCTATCTGAGAAAAGTAGACTGGACAGCTATTTTAAAAAAAAATTCTGATCTCATGAAATGCTGTTAAATAGAGAATAGTTATCAATCATTTTCCCTGGACCTAAATGTCTACCAATTGGTATTGCCTATAAGGGAGAATTTTTCAACAGTATGGCTTCTTAGGAAATGGAAAAAAATTTCTGAGACAAGCTGTGGGATTCCTCTCCAGAATTTGTTTTTAATAGGATCTTTTTTTTCCTCTTTGCTTTCCTTAGTATGGTTTAGCAATTATAGCATCACATAGGATCACAGCTTCAGAGCTAGAAAGGACCCTGGAGGCCCCATAGTCCAAATGACTGATTTTTACAGATGAGGGGACTCAGGGTCCAAGAGCTAAGTGGCTTGCCGAAAGTCACAAATATAAATATCAGTGGTAGGATTTGAACTCAGGTGTTCCTGGCTCCAAGTCTAATACATTCTCTACTACACCATGCTGCCCCTTCTTTCAAGAGGTAGAAAAATGGATTAGAACAAGGACTATGGAACTCATGGCTTTAAAAAAAAATACTGAGGGGCAAAAACTTGTTATAAGTTATATTAATGGTAACATTAACTGCATCATTATAAAGCCTTATGTGTAGGTACATAGAACTATGTGAGGATTCTCTAACTAGCTGCTTTGATAACTTCTTAGATATTTATTAAAAATGTTCAAAAAGTGTTTTTTCCAGTCTGTCAGTCAATAAACATTTATGAAGTTCCTACTATGCACCAGGTACTATAACAAGTGCTAGGGATATAAAGAAAGGCAGAAGACATTCCCTGCCTTCAAGGAGCTCACAGTCTAATGGAGGAGACAATATGTAAACAACTCTGTACAAATAATCAATGTACAGGATTAATTAATGATAATAAAGAGAGGGAAGGCACTAGAAGTAAGGGGGAATTCAGAAAGGCTTCTTGTAGAAGGTGGGATTTTTCCTGGGTCTTGAAGCAAACCAGGGAAGCCAGATTGGTCAGAGTGTTGAACTATGACTCCTGGACTTGCTCAGATTGGCTAGGGGCAGTAGGATGGATTGGCTTTGGAGTCAGGCTCCTTGATTTGGATTCTATCTAGTCCACCATTTCACTTCCTCTGTGACCCTTAGACAGTCACTTAACTGCCATAGGATTTAGTTTCCTAACTTGTAAGGCTGGAGTAGATGACTTCTAAGATCTTCTCCGGTCTTAAATCTATGATGACCTCTTAATGCCTCTTTAAGACTCACAGATCTATACATTCACAGTTCTTGTTAAAGGCTTAGATCAGAATTTTATTTTCCAATCTGTAAGGCAAATATCAGCTCAGAGGTTACTCCAATAATCTCACCACTTCTTTTCTACTGTGACCACAGAGGAAGAAGGAATATGGTTTATAAGCAGAGGGTAGAGGGCTGTATGTCTATTTTAGTATATTTTTTGAAAAATTTTTGGACTGAAGCAGTGGTTTCATTGGTACAGTGAAGGGGCTCTTTCTACTAACATAGACTGTTCCTTGCTCCCCAACTTATATAGCCATAGCCCAAGACACTGAGAGTGGTAGTGACCTGTCTCAGGTCACATAGCCAAAATAGCTCTGAGGTGGGACTTGAACCCAGATCTCTCTGTCTCCAAGGGTGACTGCTTCCTACATTGTGCCATGCTTCCTCTCAGCACATTAACTCTTAAATTTCACATCTAATGAAATTAGGCTCCTTTTTTTGATCAGTAAATGCCCGTTATGAATTGAACCTACATTTTACAAAGCTTGAATATGCATTTTTATTAAGATCAGAAGCAGCTTACTAATGGTGAGGCTGCAGGGGAAACAAAACAACAGCTGAATCCTACAGCTGTTTGTCTCTGAAAGTAAAAAGCTCAAGATCTTTGGTCCTCCAGAGCTTATAATTACCACAGCGGATAAAAAAAGTTCATCAGAATTAAGATTTTTAGTTCAGAAAGTCAGTTTCTTCTCTGACACATTTCCAGGTATGTTTCCTTTTCAAACATTTGGTGGAAGATGCTTGTGCACATAGCTCTGAGAAGCAAGCAGCACATCCCTTTCAAAAACACTGTACTTTACAACTTATATACTTAACTGTATAAATGTCAAAGAAAAGGTCAATGTGCATTTTTTCCATCCAATTGCACAACCAGTAATTGCCTGTAGTTGTAGAATTGCACAATGACAGTCTATATTCTTGGCAGTTATCACCATATGTCCACAAATTAATAAAAATAAGAAAGGTACTATTTGTAAACAGTTCAGGTCACACTCATCTTATTCTTTGCGCTGACCAAGAGTTTTTTCTTTCCAAGTTTCTTTAAATCAGACTTGCTTTCTCTATGGGCTTAGTAAAAGGTTTTTCATCCAAACAGATTTTCATCCTCCCCTATTTCTTTTTCCCATTAAAGCCCCATTGAGACCTTTTTATTTTTATGTTGACTTTTCTTATGTATTATCCCCAAGCACATTCTTAAGTTGTGTTGAGGTAAGTCAAAGATTACGACTGTGTCTACCTGGTTGGCAGTGAAACTTATTATGGAACAATTCTGATTAGAACACTGGGTCACCCCAGTCAGCTTCTCTATATGATGGAATAAAGAGCAGAAATTCAGGTATGTAAGTTACTTCAATCATACTGCCATGGAGATAGATGGGGTTAATGGGAATGTTATAGATCATTTACATGTAGACATGACCCAATAGCCTCAAGGCCATTGGAAACAAGGCCTCGTGTGCCACTTTGGGGTCATGTCTCTTCTCTGGTTCATAAGCTCATTCACCACCATAAATCAAAAATCAGTCACTTTCTATATTAGTGAGCTCTAGGTCTGGTACAGAAAGAACTATGAATGAGATGGAGACTACCATGCTACACATGCATAGTGACTTCTATGAGATATCTGGGAGTAGATGCCTTGAAATCACCCTAAGAATGAATAAGTGATTTGCCATGTCCCATCCCTGCCTCTGAAGGTTATATAGGTCCCCGGATGATCACAGAATACCTGTGGTGATTTCAGCATCTAAACAAAAACAACTGGCAGATTTGGCCAATTCAAAGGAGGAAAAATAAAGTTAAATTGGTTAGGCCTAAATTGGGCCATGCAGCCACTAAGGCCCTACCAGCGTGAAATCAATGACCCTATGGTAGGGGATATTAGGAAGTGTGCTGGTTGTTAGTATAAACAACCAAGATTGACTGAAAGTTTTGCTTTTTGTATGATTGTGGTAGTTTAGCTTAGACATGATGCAAGTTGCTCATAAGTCTTTGTTTCTAGCCTACTCCTTTGCTGGTGCCTACCTCTTTCCCTGTGTGAGCCTATTCAGTAAAGGAAAAATCAAGCTCAACGTCTGCATTTTTAGGCAACTATGGGGGGAAAATTAAAAGAAAAGTTTTCACAAAATGCTTTGAAAATTGCAGCAGAGTGTATAAAATGCACAATTATTGGTGGCCTACCTTCCTTCCGGCTCTGTTGTTGTGAAGGTTCATCAGTGCTCGAGCATCTTTTCCTTTCCTTTCCTTGGCATCCACAAATGCTCGGGCAAATTTGATCCCATAGTCAATGTTATCACTGCATCCACCCCAATCAAAAGTGCCTTTGCTATCTTTGGAAGTTCCTTTCTTCTTAGGGTCACAGGAGCAAGATTTTAATTCTCCCTGGCTACAGGCCCTGGTGATGGCATATACGACTCCAGCGGAGGAGATAGCGTACACAAAGGCGACCTCTCGACTACCTGTAATCAAAATGGTCATCTTCAAAAGACGGCTGGTATTCCTATCTCCGTATGACTTCAGCCTGATGCACTGGCACTTCTTGAGAAGCTGCCTTCTTCTGGGTGCTTTGTTCCTTTCCCAGAACGTGTCATTGGACCTCACTTTGTGTAAAGAATACATCCCTATAAAGTTACGTGCATATCAAATCAAATCTTGTTATTAGTTCCCTGGAGGAGCTCATGATTTCATAATAATAATAATAATAATAATAATAATAATAATAATAATAATAATAATAATAATAATAATGATAATGGTTAATGTTATAAAGTGTCATAAGGCTTGCAAAACACTATACAGATGCTGAGGAGGAATCATTTTGTAAAGATTTTGTGATTCAACTGATCATATTCCAATTTGTTTAATTTGTATTAAGATAAGTACATATTCATGAACTTTTCTTAAAGCAAGGCAATACCCCTACGAAGATTCTAATAAAATCAGGCAAAGGGGCTCTTTTCTGCAGTAGGACTGGTTTTGGGTAATAGTAATACATTAGGCAACTAGGTAGCTTAGTGGATAGAGCTCTGGGCCTAGAGTTGGGAAGACCTGAGTTCAAATTTAGCCTCAGACACTTACTAGCTGTGAGACCCTGGGCAAGTCACTTAATCTCTGAATGTTGAAATCCACAAGAGAAGGAAATGGCAAACTACCCCAGTACCTTTCCCAAGAAATTCCATGGACAGTATTGGCATACTATGGTCCACGAGATCAAGAAGAGTTGGACATGACTGAACAACAAAGACATACATTAGTGCAATGGCAAATAAAAATATATTTTGGTTTGATGGCATCCCTAAATGTTTTGAAATGTGTACAAAGCTGGTCCTCAGTTTCCTCTTCTGCAAAATGAAAGAACTGAGGGTCTTTTGGCTCTAAAAGTTCATATTTAAGCCTTCCTCTATAGCTATCTTCTAAAACACACTTGGATTTTATTTTGCACCCTCACAGATACGGAAACTAATTTGAATGGAAAACACTGTGTATAAAGGCTGGGGAAAGGAGAACATTTGAACCTAGAATGAGGCACTAGGAACTGCTCTTTTGCTTTAATTCCATGTCAACTTTCATATAACAGCTTAGAGAAGGCACTATCATTGAATTACTCACTGTGGCTAACAAGCATGGTGAATTGACTTTACTCTGAAATGACTACACTAACCATTGCTATTGGTCAAAAAAAGACAGTCAATAGATTTTTAGGTTTTGCTGGAGGAAAACAAATTTATCTCCTATAATCAGACTTGTGCCCAAGCCATTTTTTTTGTGCTTTCTCAGAATTATTCTTTATTAGAGCAAAGTCTACTTTCACTTACTGACTCAAAGGTACATATTTCAGCACAATAACTACATTAAATTATTTTAATAATCTGTAGTAACTCATAATACAGTGTTGTGGTATAATGACAGATATAAGACTCTTTAGGGTCCCTATGCACCTCATTTTTCAAATGGTGCTGTATTTCATTGTTATTAGCATGCTTTTTTATTAATGGTTGCCACAGTAAATATATTAACAACCAGAATAGAAGCTGAACAACCTCGTGCCAATGGAAGGCTGAAAACATGACAGCCATTAGGTGATCCAATAGGTACACTAAGATGAGTGTGACTTTTTGAACCATACATCTGGGGGAACAAACCACCATTTTGCATTGAAGCACTGTTCATTCCCATTTGTCATTCAGGGCTAAAATTTATTATACATTCTTTATAATATTTGCTCTGCTAGCCTCATTATTAAAAATCAGAAAAAACATATCCTCACCATATTAAATGACACTTACCTCAGTCTTTAAAAAACAATCCCCCAAGCCCAACAACTCAAAAAAAAAATACAGAACATTTCCAAGTAGTTATGTAAAAATAAGTTGTGTGAATATTTGCCATAAGTAGCAGTTTGTGTTCCCCAGAGAGGAATGTGATGATCATATGTCATTTTTAAAAAAGGTATCCCAACTTACAATGTAAGACTCACAAAGCGCCTAAGTGAAATTCAGCTGTTTTGTAAAATAAGTTAAATAGAGACCAATATATCTTGCCAAAAGGTGGTGCTTGGAGAAAACATGCTTTTTCTAACTTGCTTAGTCCGTTCATGGACATGATGGGCTATGTTCAGTCTTGCTAGGAAGTAAATTGCAAGTCCACATTACTCTAAAAGACACTGTGGGGTAGTGGATACAGAGCCAGTCTTAAAGGCAGGAAGACCTGAGTTCATGTTCTGCCATTGACAGATCCTAGCTATACAACCAGAAGCAAACCATTGAACCTCTCAGTGCCCTAGGCTAGTGGTATCAAACTCTCAACAGGAAAGAGATTAAAACAAAAAAGTAAAGGCACAATACAACATTTTTGTTGTTGTTCAGTTATGACCCCATATGGAGCCTTCTTGGCAAAGATACTGCAGTGGTTTGCCATTTCCTTCTTCAGCTCATTTTACAGATGAGGAAACTGAGGCAAGCAAGGTCAAGTGACTTGCCAGGGTGACACATCTAGTAAGGATCTGAACTCAGGTATTCCTGACTCCAGGCCCAGCACCCTATCCACTTCACCACCTAGCTACCTTGCATCTCTATTTTACTGAAGATAACGTACAAGCTTACTAATAGTAAATGACTTAGCTGTAAGTGACATTGTGGCCATTATGATTCAGGTCTCCCGTCTTGAAGTTTAAGGAACTCAAGGATGTGTGAAGAAAGAACATTAGTGACAGTGGCTGTTTAAAAATGGAACTCCTGAAAGCTTACCCTTTTTATTACCACCACCAAATAACTTTTAATCTGAACATTTTGTGAACAAATGAAATTATACTCTGTGTGTGTGTGTGTGTGTGTGTGTGTGTGTGTGTGTGCACAAGCACAGGCATAGATATGCATACCAAGGGATGCTATGAAAGAGAGATGTTCTAAACAATGTATAAAAAGGTCTTTTAAAAATGAGTGTGGGGGGGGCAGCTAGGTGGCGCAGCCACCAGCCCTGAAGTCAGGAGGACCTGAGTTCAAATCCGGCCTCAGACCAAACATTTGACACTTACTATCTGTGTGACCCTGGGCGAGTCACTTAACCCCAATTGCCTAAAAAAGAGAAAAAAGAAAAAAAAAGAAAGAAAATGAGCAGGGGATGGGGCAGCTAGGTGGCCACATGTACTAGCTGTGTGACTCTGGGCAAATCACTTAACCCCAATTGCCTAAAGAAAAAAGATGAGCAGGAGAATGTTTCTGCTAGTAGAAAAACTTGGCCTAGTATGCAAATAATAGTTACATTAATGATTCAAATAATAGTTACATTAATTGTTGGATGGAAGAAAAATTATTTTTATACAACTGAACTGGCCTCCATTCTCCCCTCCAAAAAAATTTCCAAAGATAATAACATTCTAAAGATGTCACTTCCTATTCATATACACATAAGTTGTATCATGTCAATGACACATATCTAGAAGTATGTTTGTTTAAACAAAACATTGGGAATATGGACTGATTTTTCATTTTCTTTTACGTATTTCCATGTCCCGTTGACACAGTCTTAAGATGTTTTGCATTTAGTGCCTTAAATGAATCACTAAAATGCTATGACTTTTATGCAATAATACAAAATTGGATGTCTGATCCTCTGCTGAGGAAAAAAAAAGGTATTCCTTTCAAATCTGTTAAAAGTTATAAATCTCAAATCATTTGAATTTTTAAGTAGTAAGAGTTTAGTAATTCCAGAGTACCTTTTGGATTTTTTCTAATTTTAGAAAATTATCCTATCAAAATGTAGTTGAAGAAAATAAATCAAATATTTATTAAAGGCATATAAGCATATCACATGGAATATTATCTAATTGTGAGTTTAAGAATAAACTCTAGTAGTGCAGGGCACTAGAGCTAAACAGTTTTGACTGTCTATACCGGAATCTATGCCATAAAGACAATACTGATGGCTCAAAAACTTGTTTCATTTTCAAATTTTGGGGTTTTCTAGAAGGAATATTCCAGCCACTGGTAGTTTGTCAGTCTTCACCTGAAGTTCTCCAAACTATTTCCCTTACCTAAGGCTGTGCCTAGCAAAGAGTCGTGTATACATGGAAGAGATTAATAAAGGTTTGTGAAATGAGTGAATGAATGAAAAGCCCCTAAAAATCCTCTCCACAAAATCCTTTCTAAGCTCTGATTCCTTGGAGCAAAAGGAAACTTTCTGGCTCCCCTATAAAGATAGAATCTTCCCACATTTCATGTGTCCTTCTCATATAAACAATTCCACTCTCTGACTTTATTATCTATCTATCTGGTGACAGCTAAGTGGCTCAGTGGATAGAACACTAGACAGAGAGTCAGGAAGTCCTGAGTTTAAATTTGACCTCAGACATTAGTTGCATGACTCTGGGAAAAGTCCTTTAACCTCTGTTTATCTCAGTTTCCTCATCTGTCAAATGGGGATAATAATGGCATCTATCTCCCAGGGTTGTTTTGAGGCTCAAATGAGATAATATTTGTAAATCACTTTGAAAATGTTAAAGTACCATATAAATGTTGGCCACGACAACTATAAGTACAACAACTCTCAGACCTCTTCACAGTTCTGAGATGGGAACTTCTCATCAAACAATTAATTGTTAACATTTTTGGACGGCTTCAATGGAATTTCATGATTATTTCCAGAATAAGCCACTTCAGGCCAAATTCTGCCCTCCCATATTCAACAGAAAATCCTCATTGACTTGAATGGGAATGAGGGTGAGTATATAAGGATGGAATCTGGCCTTCTGTGAAAAGAAGGAATAAACATAGTTTCATGTGAATATTCTATTTTTTGTGCTTTTATTCAATTAATTCAGCTTTATCTGAAAAAATCTGAAGCCATTAGAATAAAAACAAAAATCATGTTAGGTCTTAGACCAGATTGATCTATCAACTTGTCTTCCCCTCTTCCAAGCCCCCACTGACTCTACAGCATTCACTGAAATGAAGTTATTGGCAAGATTTATTCGAAGTATTTTATGGACGAATCCCCTAGCTTATATAAACTTATTATTGTTGGAAATCAACAATCAGAAACCACCTCTATTTAGTTCTATTTGTGGTCTGAAAATTTCCACACTATAGGGATGTCTGAAAGCTTTATCATAGGCTCAGCTTTTAACTGGAATAATTTTACAAACTGGCACACTGTAATGCAGAATGTATGTAAACACTCTGGATAAGAAAATGCCCATTCTATCTTGAATTTAATTACCACTTGAAGGCATTCCCATAACATAGCTCATAATTCCTCAGGCTGGCATCAGCACCTATAAACTTTTTTTGGACAGAGATCAGAACTTTTATTGATTGATTCATTGGTGAGCTAATCTAGGTGAAGCCTTGAAATACCATTCAGCTGAAATTGCTGTTAACCTTCAAAAAATTTGCTACATCATATCGAAACTCCAAAAGGAATGTAGAAGGATCTAGTTCTTATAATATTGCAATAAATTAGCTCTAGGGATGCACTAACAGTAAGCATATCACTCCCTTGAGGGATTTTACAGCCATTCAGCTATGTATTTGGCCTCATAAAACCATAGGGGTGTGATGAATACATGATAGAAACACCCTCTATTAGGTACTATGGAGTGTACAGCCTGGATGATTTTTTTAGGCATGGGGGGGGGAGGTTGTGTCCATAAGGTGGGCAGGGCACAAACAAACGCAAAATTTCCGGTTTTAGATATTCACACATAGAATGCTTTGCTTTTGGTCTGATTTCCAAATGGCAGCATTTTGTGGAGAAACCAGAAGCATTTCATTTGAGCTGGGAAAGAGGCTCTTAGCTAGATATCAAGCTCTGAGGATCACTTTCCCTTTACTTCTAGCTAGCAAGGTGGCCTTTCTTCTTAAAAACACTCCCCCCCCCCCTCCAATTATACCATTAGAAAATCCTTACCGAAGGTCCCACCTACAAGTCTATAACTTAATTTAGAGAAAGGCTCATAGGCTTATTGGCAGATGGGAAAATCAAAGATATTGAATGGGTATTTAAAAACAACAGAATTTAGTTGGAAGGGATCTATAGATCTAACACAATGCTCTCATTTTACACACAAGAAAACATACTCATAGAGGTTAAGTAAGTGACTTGCCCAAGATTACACAGTTGGGAAGTCAGTAAATTTTGTTGCTGTTGAGTTGTTTTAGTCATGTTTGACTCTTCAGGAGCCCATTTGGGGTTTTCTTGGCAAAGACACTGGAGTGGTTTGCCATTTCCTTCTCCACCTCATTTTACAGATGAGGACATTGGGGTAAATGGGGTTAAGTGACTTGCCCAGGGTCATAAAACTAGGAAGTGTCTGAGGCGCGATTTGAACTCAGGAAGATCAATCTTCATGATTCTAGGCCCAGAACTCTAACCACTGGGGTCACATAGCTGTCCTGGCCCTGTCAGTAAATAGCAGAGCCTATATTTGAGCCTAGAACTTTTCATTTTTAGAGCCAATGCATTTGGTCTTAGCTGCTAAATTGTTGGATCACTTTGATTCTCTGAATCCCTGGAGCCTAGAACTGTAGCACACAGTAGGCACTTAATGAGTGCTCTTTTAATTGATTCATGGTTTAGTTTCCTTGCTAGTAAATAGGAGTGAGAACACAATATTTCCCTGTACAGGATGACAGTGAGGAGGATTACCCAATCCAAGTAACTGTTAAGCATTTTAAAAATACTTCCTAGAGAAAAGGCAGCACGATCTAGTTGAACACCTAACCAAGTCCAAACCCTACAGTACTGAATTTGGAATCAGGCCTTAGTTCAAGTTCTGGCTTGGTCACTATACTGCTATCAGCAAATTATTTAGTCTCAGCCTGCTTTCTAAACTATATAAGGAGGAAAACAATAAATACTTGAGCCTTATAGGGTTGTAATGAGGAAAGGACCTCATCAATTGTAAAAGGCTAAATCAAAAGGAGGTTATTATAATGAACTTTAACGAATGCTGCAGTGGGCAGCTAGGTAGTGAAGTGGATAAAGCTCTGCACCTGGAATCAGGAAGACTCATCGTCAGGAGCTTAAATCCTACCTCAGACACTTCCTAGCTTTGCGACCCTGGGCAAGTTTGCCTCAGTTTCCTCATCTGTAAAATGAGATGGAGATGGAAATGGCAAACCACTCCAGTATCTTTGCCAAGAAAACCCCAAATGGGGTCATGAACAGTTGGTCACAGCTGAAATGACTCAACAACAAAAATAATAACGGCATGAACTCCAAACATGGACATCTCTACTACATGCCAGACTCGAACCATCCTCATCCTTTGCTTCTATGTCCCTTTGGGACATAGCTGTATGAAAAAGAGGCAAGAAATCCAAATGGGACTCTACTGTATTATCTGTCCTGATGATAAAGGAAAATACATCTGCATGGTATAATAGATAGAGCTCTGGGCTGGATGGCAGGAGGCCTAGAGGTCATCACCAGCTAGGTGTGAGATTTAGGCTGGGCAAGTCAGCTAACTACCTAAAAATCTGTTTCCTCACCTATTAAATGGGTTACTGTGCAGGGAAAATGAAATCAGATTTGTCAATGTGCTTTGAAAAGCACAAGGAAGAACATGATGATGTTGGTGCCCTCTGATTGTAGAAGGTACTTACTTCGGAGCAGGACCTTGCCAAAGAGATTGTGATCTCTATCTAGGGTGTGGCAATTCCAGCGGTGCTGTCGAAACTGGTGCTGACACTCAGCAGTCCACTCTGCCACGCCCAGGCCGATGGAGCGCATCACCTCCGGGTGCCGATGGCACAGCTGACGTTGGCGGCTGACCAGGCCTGGCACGTTGTCACACATGACCCTTGAGGAGCCCACAGCTCTCATGTACCTGCAGGCAGCAAACACAGGAAAGAGAGCAACTAGGGAACGAGTGGGCAGGATTGAGATCTCCTAAGGGAGAACTCTATAGTAGATGTGTCAAAAGAACCAGATTCAAAGGTAATGGGGAAACACTTAAGAAAATAAATAAAAATACGGTAGGACATGGATAATGTTAATCTGTGTTTTTTAAAGTTAATGCAGGCTGCAGGAATCCTTATGTACCCCCAATTAGTGGCTCCTGTTTCTATTGGAGTTTGACATCTGGATCCTGACTGATGGCAAGAAAGTGTGGCTAGTTACGAGGCAAGGAGTCATCCCAAAGGAAAGAAAAAGACTTACTGAAGATACCTGCAGGAATCAAGAGGGGCAGGTTCTGCTAAGTGATTCTTTAAAAAGTATTTTAAAATAATTATTTTTGTTACTTAGGGTCAGAAGAGCTCAAAGCACTTGTCAAATGTACTCTTCTTGTATAACTTTCTTATGAAATAGGAGCAAATGTCAGTGTAGTGAAATGGACATTGTATGCAGTGAAATGGACATTGGATAGGAGTCAGGAAATTGGGCTTTTAGTTGAAGCTTTGCCGTTTGCTAGTGATGTGATCTTGTACCATTATGAGGAAGCCTCAGTTTCCTACTCTATAAATCAAAGGGGCTGGACTCTAGTGACCCTTCTCACTCTAATGGAACTCTGTACTTGAAGTCAAAGGACCTGAGTTTAAACTTCATTTCTGCTGTTTATTTGTCAAGTCATCTAACAACTCAGTCTATTGATCTGTAAAATGGGAATGATAACAACAGCTAACATTTATATAATGCTTACTATGTGCCAGGCACTGTGCTAAGTGCTTTACAATTATCATCTCATTTGGTAACAATGATACTTTTCATACCTACCTCAAAAGGGTATTGAGGAAAGTGCTTCATATTAAGTCTCAAGGTAATTTATTATTTACTGGATAGCCTGAGTGATAATGAAGTAATCTGGCAAAACAAATCTAAGAGACTAGAGCATTACATGGAAAGGATGTCGGATTTGGAGTCAGAGAATTTAGGTTCAAAGATCAGCTCTTCCATTTGCAATCTGACCTTGGGTAAATTGCTTGATCTTTCTGGGCCTCATTGTCCTTCTCCGTAAAATGAAAGGATGAACTAATTGACAGTTGAGGTCCCTTGAATCTGTGATGCTGTGAACTCTGCTTTTTCCTCAGAAGCTAACTGGAAGCCTACCAATAGTGACCGGGACATTTGCTATGAAAGAAGGTGTTTTGGATGGGGTAGGGAGGGAAGAATAAAGGAGATATGTAATGCATTTTTGGGAGAAAGCTTAAGAGAGGCTCAATAAGCTCTTAGAGAAAAAACTGTGCTCTGGCTTTGCTTTGGGGAAAATCTGTCTTTGAGATCACCTTCTCTCTCCTGCCTAAGATTAATCAAATATTTTAGAAATTTGTTGCATCTGTGTTAACTGATGTGAAATCATTATGATTATAGACATGGTCTTCTATTGTTGCTCAAGACCCAGTTTTAAATGTCCATTTTGCAGCTTGTTTTCTTTAAAAGACAATCTTAGAGAAAAAAACCCCTCTATTGTTTTTAAGGACATGAAATATTTGGAAGAATCAAATTGAGTGTTATAGCTTGGGTAAAGGACTTTTGAAAAGAAACTTTAACAAAAATTAAATTACATCATCATCTGTACCCAGATGTTCTCTATTAGTAGTGAACTGTTTAGAAAGGTACCTTTCATATAACCCAAGCTGCCATAGGTGTCTTTTGAAGCGATCAAACAGGGAAAATGTCTTTTTCTTGTATTTTCATTATTTTATATGATCATAAAATCGTTGAAGCTGTGACTTCCAAAAATATATATTTAAGTGACAGCTAAGAGACAACGTGACAAAAAGCTGTAGCAATAAATAATGTTTATACACCTATGGAAACAGAAATAGTCATTTTATTGAAAAATGGTTAGTCTGATAAATCAATCTTTGATCCTATGTCAGCAATGTCAAGGCTAAACGCTTTTCCCATTCTAAGTGGTTTTAAGCCGAAATTGAACTTCTCTTCCCATCAACAGCTTGGGCTTGCTGGTTTGAAGATCTCCAGTCATCTCCCTGCCCTGTTCCTTTATTGGGCTTGAGAAAAGCTAGGTTTGTCAGATCCTTTATAAATAGCAAGATAACAGGTCTTTCTGAACCTTCCCATTTCTGTTCTTACACTTATTAGTTGCAGGGATGTAAAGGGGTTTTCAACTGTAGAGTCTTTAAACAGTAGAGGGCAGGGGCAGGGAAAGGTTTTCCCACACTGGAACATCTGTCTAGGGATCCGAAGACCCATTGCCATTAAACATCATTTCCTTTTTTTTTTTCTATGGGTCGAAGACTGAGTTTTCAAAGCTCAGAACCAAAGTTCTTTGTGTCATGGCTTTGCAAAAGAGTGCCTTGATTTAAAAAATTTTAAAAAGACCATTGGTTGAAAGATGGAATGAGGATAGTCACCTCTCTGCCTTGAGTCAATAAAACCAATTCTGAATAGCGAGTTTCTGCCCGATTAAGGCAAGGGCATTTGGAATTTGGAAGAACACAAATGATGCAGAAGCACTCATTAATTGTTTCTCGGGATAAAAAAATGAAGCCATGCCTCAATCGGCCCTTCAAGTCTTTTGGAGGTTAATAACCATGGCTGTACTCACACAGAGAGACGCACACAGACACACACGTATGTGCCAGAGATTCGGTTAGTCTTTCTCCCCACAGGATGTGAATTTGACTCATTTTGCTGCCTTTATCCTGGATCCAAATAAACCAACATCCGATCACTCTTTCGAGCAAGAATTTGGCTTTTTCCAGGTTGTCAAAGCCGGAATGATCTGTCGGGGAAGAGCGAAGGGGCGCAGGATGGGGACGTGTCGTGGGAAAAGAAGGGGCTCTGAGGCTGAACTGCAGCTGGGAGGGATGGGGTGGGGGGCGAGCGGGGAATTTGAGATTCGCCATCAGTCAGTCTCTGACCAGGAGAAAGCCCCCAGAAAAGGGTCTCCCTGGTCCAGGACTGTGCCAGTTTCCCTCTTCCAAAAATCCTTGTCAAGTGCTGAACTTACCACCATGAAGAGCTGACTTGTGGGGTTACCCAGGATAAGATCAGAGGAACAGAAAGCCAGATTCCAAAGAGAGAGGAGGAGTTCATATTAAACACCCTTCAGTCCGCATCAGGTCAGACACAACGTGCGTGCGGGGTCCATCCCATGGAACAGAAATAACGGGGACAAGAAACACTCAGCAGCCGCCGCGGGGAAGAGCGTCTCCAGTCCCGTCCCGTCCCGTCCCGTCACGGCAGCCTACTTCCCCCCCGCCCCCTTCTCGCGTCTGCGAGTGGCAAGACTCACTGATAAGTTTCACACGGAGAGGGAGTGAGCGAGCTCAAGGTCAGGGATGACCTCCAGCCCCCCCGAGCGAGCGCCTCACCCCGAAGCGAATTCCCAGGCTGCGGGGAGAAAGGACCGCACGAGGAGGGCTCGTCTTCTTTCCTCCTGCTCCCCTGTTTCCATTCTTTTCTTCTCCGCAGCCTGAGCGCAGGCACGGCTGTGGAGATGAGGAGGGTTCTGCTTACACACTGGGTGGGTGGCTTTTTTTTTTCCCCCTAAGCTCTGATGGATGAAATGATGTCAAGAGACGTTCGGGGTTGGGGCGGAGGGGACAGGGAGGGAAGGAAGGGGGAAACACCTCTGACTAGGCTCGAGGAGGCCGGTAGTCACCTTGCAGTCACGTTACAGAGAACAACCCCAGCAGCTCCAGACTTCCTTCTTGGCGTAAGGCTGGGTGGAACGCACCGGCTGGGGAGAGGAGACACCCCCTACCCCTCCTGCAAACAGAAATCTCCTGAGGCGTGATTTACACCGACGCGAGGGAGTAGAAAAGGGCGGGGGGGTGTTTCCATACAAATACTGGTCGTAGAAGGAGTGAAGAGACAGGCAAATAGACAAAACAGGTAAGGCTGGGAGGGAGACAGGCAAAGCAGACAGGAAAGCAGGCAGGGAGATAGGAAGGGAGAGACAAGTAATTCAGTTTTATCTCTGTACATTCATCTCCTTAAAGCTGAGAGCTAGGGACTGTTTTCTTTTTGTCTGCAATCTCTAAGCCTAACCTAAGTGCTTGGCAAACAACAGGCGCTCAATACATGTTCCTAGCATGAAAGAATAAAGAACTAAGAGATAGGAATGAATGATTATGGAACCTGTATACCTAAAACTGTTTAGGGATAGGAAACGAAGAAAGACGACATGGACTCAACCTTCAGCATTGAGCATATTATTCCCTTCGCTTGACCTTTTTGACCTCCTCCCAACTTTCGCCCATCAATAATTCTTGGCCAGTTAGATTCTTCACACACCTCCTGGCAAGCCAGAAGAATTAGCCTCAGGCAGTAAAGGGAGTCAGAATCTCCAAACGCTGCGCCGTCTCACCCCCCTCTCCCACCCCCAATAGAGGGAATGTGTGTGTATTGCGGGGAGGGCGGGACTCTCTGTTAGGGACCGTCAAGATGAAGGAAATCAAACCCCAAGACGTGGTTAATACCTCTGTGAAACCAAAGGGTCCGGGAGGGGGTGGGAGGTGGGACCTCCAATCTCAACTGACCCATACTGAAGAAGTGTCATTAGTCATGTTCAGGAAAGGAAGGTGAAACTCGCTACGTCCGGGAAAGAGTTGGGTGTTTCAGCAACCTCTGTCCGAAGATTCACTGGACTTTTCCTGGGGGCGTGTGTGTATTCGGGGTGGGGTGGGGGGAGGATGGTGGTGGTGGTAATCAGACCCTCCCGGGCCACCCAGCGAGTGCTCAAGGAAGTGGGGTAGGACTGCAGTTTTATCTCGTATTGTTCCCGGGGCCTAGGGACTTCAGGATAGAAAGACAATAGGAAAAGCTCCCTCTCCACCCCGCAAGCACTGGGGTCCCTCCTGCGGGGTTCTGTCAGGATGCACTGGAGTGTCATTTTTCCCCGGGAGCCCTGCCCGAGCAAGAGTAGAAGAGGGTGAGAATGATATGATGAGGGTGGGCTGGGACCCCTCAGGGATGGGGGCGTGAAACATGAAGATGCCAAAAACCTGAAAGATGCTGTCAACTCAGCTCGCGCCCCCTCTCCCACCTCCCCCCGCCCAGCCCCGGTCAGGTTCCGGCCCCTCCCAGGCTGACCCAGATACATCCACATTTGGGTCCGGAAAGGGAGGGGAGGAAAACGAGGACCGCGCCACCCACGACTCTGGGAAGAGCAGGGCTCCGCGCCAGGGCCGCTCCGTATCTCTCGGGCGAGACCCAAGGGAAGTGCTGGTCGGTATGTGCCGGCTGGAGAGGGCGGAGGAAACGCAGCCGGGCTCACTCCAGAGGAAGCAAAAGGCCTGGCTGGGAAAGGTGGTGGGGGGAGTAACAGCCGCCAACACCAACCTAGGCAAGCCCCTGCAGCAGAAGTCCTTCGAGGATACTACCCCCACCCCGCTTCTGGTCCCGGAATTGCAGATGTTCTTGGGACTTCGTCCCGGATGCAAACTGGTGGTGCATTAGCATCACCCAGCCACTCAAGTTCCAAGGGAATAGAGAGCTGCATGGCCCAAAGGGCTCTAGGAAAGGGGGGCGAGAAGCACTATCCCATCTCCTATCCCCTAGGGCTTTGCTCCCCAGTAGCCTAGAAGGGAAAGGGGGGGGCACGGTTTGGAGCGATGGACACGTCCCACGTGACAATTACGACCTTAAAATTAGATTCTCTGTAGTGATGAGTAAAGCAACTTCTTTACTAAAAGACAAACCTCCCTCCAGCATGCATTTCTGCTCTCACAGCCATGGGGAATCAAAAATGATGGGGCGTTTAACAATCCTGTTTAAAAGCCCTTCCCCTCCGCCTAAGATTACTGAATGACCATGGGACTTGCACTCCTTCAATTACTTTGCGGCTCCACGGAATGACCTAAACCTGAAACAGACCTCCTGGAAAAGGAATTCTTTAACTGATTAAATCCACTCCCGATTGCATCCTAGGGGCAGAAGGAGACGTTGCCACGTGTCAGGGAAGGCTAAAATCTGGCTTGGTGAAAAGTATAAGGTTGAAATAGCTGGAGAGAAAGGCAAGCTCCAGATGTGGGAAAAGGTTCACCCAGATACCCCTTATTGACCTTAGAGGGAGGCTAGATCAGATCACTCGTGCCTTCCAAATCTAAAGAATTACAGCTCTTTAGCATTCTTTACTTCACACCCCTCAATCTATTTAAAATCAATGTGTCCTCCCACCTAGGCCAGTAGATATTTGTTCCCTTCTTGGCCAGTCATCTTTTCCTATACTTTAAAAGCAAATGGAAGACCAAACTATGAATAATATGGAATGTGAGACTTCTCCACCAACGTTTTAACTCTTGGGCCAGAGTGGAATGCCACACTAGTGAACCTTTCACTTCTTTTGCTATAGAAGGAGTAGCACTAACACCACATGAAACTAGTGGTGAAGCGAATGTACTTTACCAACACATGTAATCTCATATTGTGAACCTGCTGTAGGGCAGCAAACCATTTTCCATTGTGGATTTCCAGCAAAATCTGAAGATCCCTGACACATAACCCAAAGTCTTGACATTTTAACAAGAAAGAAAAATGGGATATGCCATATGTCCTCACCCCTAAAGTGTTATTGTCTACTTTGGTTTGGTTCCTAGTAGAATGTCTAGATGTTCGAGAAGGAAAGGGAATTTTCAGAAAGGGTTGAAGCTTATCTCCATCAAAACTTAACATTTCTGCACATTTTAGTATACCCCAGTGACAAATTTTAGTGGCTACTGTAACAGCTCATTTGCACTATGTGGAAACCAATTCTTTTCTGGATATTTATATTAGCTTATTTTCAGCTCCAGCATAGCACTGTAGCCAGATGAGTCGTCTACTTTCTTAGTTAAGGCCATTGTTTGCTTAGTTTCCCAGGGTAAAGGGAGACCTGCCACTTTACCACCAGAACCACCACCACCTTTAAACACATAGAGCTGCTCCTTTAATTAGTCAAATTTGCCTTTCCCAATTCTCTTTAACATCTTGGGCTGTGATTACTAATTTATCTGATTCCAAAACTCAGTATCTCCAATTTTGACGAATCTTTGGGAGAATACTTTCTATACTAGCTAACTAGTCAGTGAGATGAGAATAATTGTCCCACCTTTTCTAATGCTGTTCCCATGTTTATGGGTCTAGATTGACTAGCCATTGATGGGACCAACTACAAGCAAAAATATGAATTTGGCAAAACTCATCCTCAGAATCTCTATCTTCCCTTTCTGGGCCCCATTCTTCCTCAGGCATACAAGCCCACACACTCCCATAGGATTGCTTTATTGGTGGAAAGGACTCTAAAAGTTACTTAGTAAAGGCCCTCACCTTTGAGATAAGGAATTGGCAAAGCTTCTCCCGGTAATTAAACTGCCTTCCAGAATCTGGTAGTGTCCTCCTCAATATGTAGAATTTTTCATAATATTTTAAAAATCTGTTAAATTTAACTTAAAGAGAATCCTTGTGGGAAGGTCCTACAAACACTATGGAATCTTTAATTTGCTTTCTGTTTGTGTATACAAATCCTCGTTCTTAAAATTATCTGATTACTATAGATATGCTAGATGGATTACCACACAGAAAATCCAATTTGTGAAATTAACTGAAAATGTTTCAAGAAGAAACATTAATAGGTGACAATTACATAAAACAAATTATTCTAAGAAGCTGCTGTCTTAGTGGCAAGATTGCTGGACCTGGATTCAGGAAGATGGGTTCAATCCCACCTTTGATTCTAGCAGTTTGACTATGGTCAAGTCACTTAACCTTGAAAACTCATTAGGAAACTCTAAGTTAAAGATTTGGCTTAGTTTTTATACAAAAGTTCTAAGCATACAGACCTTAAGCACTTTACATAGGAAGACTTGGTTAATACTCATTACAATGTCTTCTTTTGGATAAGTAGAGGATCAAAATTGTTAAGTGTCTTGCCCAAGGTCACAATGCTGCTAAGTGGCAGCACCAGGATTCAAATCTTGACTCCAAAAGTCCACTGAAGCTTAGAAGTTCTTAAGATTCATAGAAAGAAGGGCCTTTAAAATCAGCGTATCTAGTCATGCAGCCCCTTCTTTGTAAAGGAATTGTCCACGGGTACTAAATATCTGGGATTTGAACTCAGGTCCACTAGATCCTAAATCTAGTGTTCTTCTTGGTTTACAAAGTTCCTTATGGACTAACCTGAAATCCTACACATCTGATGTTAACAGTAAGCATAAAAAAATTCCTTCATACATATATGCCACTGATTAACTTTAAAAGCATGCAAAATAAGATGTAGATAGAAATTAAGCAATTCAAGTTTTAACTGGGACTCAGGGAAGCAAGAGCATAGTGCCTGGCACATAGTAGGTAATGTTTGACTGATGCCTTAAATCTAATCATCAGACACAACTTAAGGTGGAGAAAACTTTTTAGCAAATCTTGAATTCTAGTACTGCACTCAGGGGAACTAATAATCAAGCTCTAAGTTGGTAAACTGGAGAGCTTGTAACAGATCAAGATGGTGAAAGGTCTTGAGGTTATATCCATACCGAATATCCTCTTTTCCTGCTATGGCCAAGGAAATCCACTTTGGTTAACTGTGGTTTGATTCTACAAGTGTCTCATTTCATTTCAATGATGAACCTAAACTACTAAGACCTGAGTCAAGTCTAGCCCATAGTACTAATAAACAAGCACAAGTTTAACAAGTTTGAGAAGAGATTTCTCATATATTAAAAAAAAAAACTGATTAAGTTATCTGAGCAGGTTAAAACAGTAAAGAAAAAGCACAAAGCTATTATGTTTGAGTCATTTTTCTTAAAGGATGGCATATCAACATCCTTTATCAAATGCACTGGTATTCAAGAAGAATTAGAAGAAGGCTAGTGGGAAACTGGGTAAATTCTTTTATGTAGGATTAATGGCAATGTATTTGAGTATTGCACAGGATTCCTGTAGAATAAAACAGAAAGGCATGGATGGATTATAATATAGACCAGTGGAGAGATCATCTTTATCAATGTGATCATGGATTTATCAAAGTAAGGTTAAAAGCTTCACATCATTTGTGGAAAAACTCCTTAATAAGTGTATTATTTAGCTACAGATTTATCCCACAGGATGCCTAAAATTCTAATCATAACAGTAAAGTGGCTAAAATCTATCAGAGTAAGATTACATATCCTAGTTGATGGGCAATATTTACCAGCAAATACATTCAGGCACAGAAAGAATGGAGAAAAACATACTCATTTTTGACATTGTTCTTTCTTGGTTCTCTACCTAACTGCTTTTGATGAGCCAAGTCTCCTTTGTTAGGTAATTATCTTGCTCCCACCTGTTAGGTATGGGTCATCTCTGAAAGTTTTGACCTGGTCTCTCCTTGCTGCCTGCCATCAGCTCCCGTATGTAGAACTATCATTTCCAAGTAGATGACTTACAGAGCTAAATTTCAGTCTTAAATATCAGCACCTCTAGTCCCAAATAACTGTCTGCTGCCGTTCTGCACCTGGACACTCCATACATATGTCAGACTCTGATTTTGGACACATTCTTAAGTTTTTGAGCCTCAGTTTCCTCCTCTGTAAAATTATAAAGATGGATTAAGTGATCTGTAAGGTCCTTACCAAAAGGAACTCATTACATTATTTGCCCCTTTCTCCCAACCAATTGCTCTTTGAAATTTCCCTGTTTCCTTTAAGGGCATCAACATCTTTCTAGTTCTGGATTCCAATCTCACAGTCTTCTTTGACTCTTCACTCTCCCTTGACCCTTATGTTCCAGATGCCAACTTGTATCCATTTTACTGCTACAATATCTGCTAGCTATACCCTTCTATCTAATCAGAGGTGCTACACTAGTTCATCTCTTGGCCTTACTTTTCAATATTTTCATTATTTGTCTCCCTTTCTCCAATCTCTCATTAAAATGAAACAAAACAAAACAAACCCCAACAAAGTTAAAGCAGTCAAGTTAATATTCCTAGCATTGATTTAACTGTGCTGTCTACTCAAAAATCTCTACCACTTCTACTCTTCACAATCTTTAGCCTTCTTCAAGGCTCAATTGAGAAGCCAGTTTTTGAAGTCTTTCTGGATCCCATTTTGTTAGCACTCTCTCCTTCCTGAAGTTAACTTTATTAATTTACTTATGTACATGCAGTTTCACTCCACTAGAATATAAGCCCCTTAAGGATATGACTCTCATTTTTGTCTTTGTATACCTTGCACCTGATATTATACGGAATAGATGCTTCATAAATGTTGGATTGTTGATTTGCAGAATTTCAAGTAATGTTTGGTCCCAAACCATTATATTTAAGCACAGGATACAACTGGATGACTTTGGATTGCTTATTGAAGTGAAAGGTAGAGTGGTCTTCCTTTTGCCCTTCCTCAGACCAAGACACCTTGGGTGGCAGGGCAGGAAGAGTAGCATGACTATTTTGATAAGATGGTCTCCAAGTTATCAACTACAACTCTTCTGCTAAGATGGAGGACTACCTAGCTTTACCATCTGCTCTGACACTACACCATTCAGACCTCTGGGCAATGTCATTTGATCTGCTTTAGAGTAGTCCTGGGCTTTGTTATCTACTCTGTAGCTCAACTCTTTTACACTTACTGCCTCCTTTTTCCTTCACCCCAACCCCATTAGAGCGTGAGCTCCTTGAGCACAGGATTGTCCTCCATTGCCATTTATATTCTCCAGTGTTTAGCACAGTACTTGGCACACAGTAAATGTTTAATAAATGCTTTTCCATGCACTCATTCATTGCATAATGGTAACCATTATTGGTCTTAACACTATGAGTAAAATGCATTAAACTTAAGAGATAGCCATGATGACTTCTGTGTTTTGTACTCCAAGGCACTTTGTCACTGCTCAATAAATAATAATTTGTAGCACTGTGGGGGTGGAAAGAGGGTGGAGATTTTTTTTTTTTGGCATATCCACTGGTGAGTAATGCATTTATCTCAAATGCCAATAAAAATTTTATGCTGTACTACATGACACATTTGTTACTTATTTGAAAATCTATGTTTGAATGATCTGAATATTGTTTAAGTACAGTTCCTTGCCCACCTGTAAAATCAGATTTGTTTATTAAAATTTTCAGTCCAAGAGATATCACAAGAAAAAACCCACAAATTTCTAATATTCATTATTCTTTTGGGAGGGAAAATGAAAGGAGAAAATCAAACACATTTTCCTAATAGAGAATTCTATTCACCTTTTCCCCTTACTATACTCAACCAGATATTTTTCCACATACTTTTCTCCCTCTCAAAAATTTTCTGTCCCTTTAATCTTTTTCTATTTTCTATTTGGTAGCTCAATTCTTTTGTGTTCTCTGCTGCTTGTTGCTTACTTAAGAAAAACTGATCCAAATTTGCATTATGAGATAATGAAAATACACTGAGAATCTGATATTGTGGGATTTGGACAAATTGACAATGAATAATTGCAAACATTATGTTGATGGAGTTTATCAGTAATATTAAGTACTTCAAACCCTACAATTTGAGAAAGTTCACACTTTATTACAAAAGCAATCTGTGGGCTATCAGTTTAAGGATGTAAGCAGAAAAGAAACAAAATGTTTTGTGAGAAAGTTTCACAGAGAAGGGTGTGGTGGAGCTTTGGACAAACTGTGCAGTTAAAAATACTGTGATGGATGTAATTATTTTTCCTTGCAAAAATCAATATAAACACCAAACAAAAATGTTTGATGTGTGAAAAGTGGAAAAGTATGCACAATGAAAATGTTATAAAACATACTTAAATAATAACTTATCTACAATGACTTCAATAAATTTAAATCAACATTACATGGTGAACAATTCAGGGTTTACAGTCAACCCAATTTTCTAAGGAATCTTTATCAAGTAGTAGAAAAAAATTATATTATTTTTCTTACTTGCATGTAAAGTAAGGTATTAAAATAACAGACATCTGGAACTTATTTAAAGCATTACTCTTCTGTTGACTACATCACATAAATTAGTTCAGTATAAGATTCCAACAATTACTCTTGAAAATCCATTTTATGACAAATCTTCATGTCTTAAACACCTTCATCAGTTTATCCATTAGTCTATATATAAGAATTTAGCTTTTTAAAATATGTTTTGCTTATTATTTACTGTGTTACTATTCTCACACTATCTCCATTTGCTTCAAGTAGACTGTATAAGAAGAAATTTGGACCCAATGCCTAGAGGGCTTTCATGAGTGAACACTTGTATTGATTGATCTCTAATGTGACTAAACTAGAAATATAACTGAACCACCATAAATCTTTACTCTGTAATCAGACCACCAACCAGTGTCAATATAGCTCCTCCCTGGATTTGGCTACTACCCCGACTGTCTCCTACTAGGAGAAATAAAATTACAAGACTTTGAAATAAAATTTTTACTCAATCTTTAGACAAGCACCAAGTATAAAGCTGCAAAACCCCATGAAGAAGTAGTTATTTTTTAAATTTTTGTTTATTAAGTATAAATTGGGGAAGGGAGAAGGGAAATCTTAGAAACCAAATGGAGCAAAGAATCCAGTTGAAGTAATCAGGTTTATAGTAATGATTAAAACAAATCTCAAGTTGTTCCTAGATCTTTAAAATAAATCTAGAATACCATTTTAATCAGTATCTCTTCCTGTACTTCCTTGTTTTAAACTGCAGTTTCTACAGCTTGGAAGCACAGAGATGCAAAGTGGAAAGTTTAAGAAATTCTCAAGAATGTTTGGGTTAAACAGGCCTTTTAGTTACTATACCTTACCAGCAGCACAGCTCCCCTGGCCCCCCAAAACAAAAAAAAATTTATAATCTTTGTCGAAGTACCTGTTCGCTATCCTTCCTTTTTGACTTTTGATGGTTTAATACACAGTTTCTATCTCCAGAAGAAGGTGTGTGGTGGTATAGAAGGAATACTTGGTCAGGAAAGACCTAGATTCAATTTCTTTCACTTATTAGCTGTGGGACCAGGAGCAAATTACTATTTCTTTATCTGTAAAATGAGATGACATATGTATAGAACTGTATAAATGTAATCTATAATTGTACCCTGAGTTTTCAAAGGCTATGCCAATTAAATTAGATCCAAACATTTAATTATGTACATCTGGCATTGTAAATACTACAACTGGGAAAGGCATCAAGTATGACGTTGTGTTGAACTGTCTAAAAACAGTTAGCAACTCTAGATAAGCATGGAGAGACTCATCTCCAGACTTCGCACTAGGATTAAAGGACAACTCAAGTTCTCTCTTAAGAGGTAGAGAGACTATATTCTGTCTGTGTAAAGACTACACACAATGATGGAATAACCAATCTTTAAAATTACAGATGTAATCTCAAAAAAAGATGTCTGAAATTTACTTTTATCAAAAGTTTCAGAATTTTGGTAGCTGAGTGCAAATGCTATGGAGCTTCTGAGTCTGGTGTTCTATGTAGGATTTCTGCATATTAGCTTCTCAGTATGTCTTTATAGACACACACAAACACACATATGCATATATAGGTACATATATAACACCTTGCAAATTTTGAAACATGTCTTAGCTATTATTACTTGGTGCCAGTTAACAGAATAACTCAACAGCTGCAGCGAACAAAGTACTGTCTGATAATATAGATATTAGCTTTAATGAATATTCTTTCAAATACTTTATAATGAATGCTTATTCCGTATACTAGATTGAATGACCTGCTGAAATTCAAATGTTGGGAGGCAGGGAGAGAAGGAGGTAAAATAAACTTAAAAATAAAATTAATTAGTTATTTATCAAGTCTTTTGTGTGCATCAGCCAACTGGTACTAAACAGTATAACTATTATTATTTTGCCTGTATGTAAACAGGTGTTTAAAAATGCTCAATAATTAGAAAGAGAACATTAAAAACAAAAATTAACAAAACTTAAAAAAAAAAGGTAAATATTCCCCTTGAGAATCTTGTTTCTACTGTTGATTTGCTTCAAGTATTGTATTTTCTGAGTTATCAGCCTCTAAATAAGTGGAGGCCAGATTAATAAAGCTTTATGGAACTTGGGAGGAGTGATTTTAGAAATAATTTTCTTCTATTAGAGTAAAACTTATACTACATAACAATATTTTGGTTTAAACTATGAATGCAAAGAAGTATCAGTGGCAACGAGAAATATTGTTAGCATCACTAGTTAATTAGAAGTATCACTAGTAATCAGCATTTCTTTACTAATACTTGAATCCAAACTTCATGCATAACAAATCATCAAATACTTATTTCTTGGCCTTTTGTTATCCTTTAGATATGTATATAAATATGAGGACTATAATCTCAATTTAAACAACAGAAACTAATAATAATAACAATAACTAACATCTATATAGTGCTATGTGCCAGGCACTGTGTTAAGTTCTTTACAAATATTATCTCATTTGATTCTCACATCAACCTTGCAAGGTAGCTGCTATCATTATCCTCATCTTACCAATAAGAAAACTGTGGCAAACAGAGGTTAAGTGACTTGTCCAGGATCACACAGCTATTAGGTTTCTAAGGCTGGATTTGAACTTAGGTCTTCTTGCCTCCAGGCCTGACACTCTATCCATTAAATCACCTAGTTGCTGTAATCATATGAATTTCTTTAGTTTTAGATATAAACTACATGAAAACATTGTGCTTCATTCTGCCATAATTTACATTTCTCTTTACAGAATAATTGTTCTCATTATGAGTTTTAAAATTAATTGCATACACAAGAGTAGAGAAATCACAATTAGCAAGTTCAGAGCTCTCCAAAGCTATACTTTAGCTAATATAGCTTTTCAATAGTTCCACTTGGTTGAGATGTAAGGCTACACAGGTTATTTGAGGCTATCTTTTTCTCAACATACCTAGAGTTGTAACTCATCTTGGAAACCCCTAATGAATAAACCTGGTTTCAACAAAAAGTGGACTATAACAAATTCTGATCCCTTGTCCAGGTGTTAGGAACTCTCTACAGTAGTTCCTCAGGTCACAGGAGCTTCCCAGAACTTTTGTACTGTTTTACATCTTTCTGTGTTAAGGAGCTCAAGTAATTTATACTCATATTTACTTAGATAATATACCCAAAATAATTTATCTAGTTCTGTGACTTTTATCTTCCTGAGGTATTTTTCTTACTGAATTTAAATTATAAATATTACGCAAAATTACTGGGTTGAAATCTGATTAAAAACTGAGGGCATGGAAAACCACAAATGTCAAATTTCATAAAGTAATTCAATTATTAATTCTATAAATATATTTCAGATTGTCCTCTCTACACATCACAATTTTAAGGCCATGTAGGCAAAACTTTCGAGGTCATACATTTAATTTCCAAGCACTTCCCTCATAAGAGCGCTTCTCATTTTTTAAAACACTCTTTTGTTTAAAAGTTTCCTATCAGTATGACTTTTTTTTTTTGGCCTCTGGACAGTTTCCCTTGATAAAGTCTCCACAATTAACAATACTCTTGGAAATCCTGCCCTCTAATTGACTACTCATCCTCATACCACCAGCTTCTAGCCAACTTTCCCTTCCAGTGATCCATTTAGGGCAGGGACTTGTGTTAGTAGGCTGCCCTGGGGTGGATACATAACAAAGCATGCTGGAAAGAACAATTTGGGATTAAGGTATGGAAAAAACACGCAAGAAGAAGATGACAGGAATTAAGGGTTTTGAGAAAGTCAAAGGAAAGTCTTTTTATGTACTGGGAAAGCCTTAAAAAGAAAAAAAAATCATTTATGGTTAGACATTATTAGTTTTTGAGAAAATTAGTTTGCTAATAGATGTGACTTATTAAGGCAGTAAGTCAGTGGTGATAAAGAAGGAAGCTAACAGGTGTGTCAGGTAAGCCTTTAAAGCTGCTCAGAACATAAGTAAGGACACAGATGAGTAGCTGTATTTTTAGTGATAGTGGAATTGTAACATTTTTGGCAGGCTGGTGAACTATATTTTATCAAGACACATTTATTAAAAGCCAAAGTACATATGATGTTATAATTCCTCCACCTTACACAGATAAGGTAGTTCAGAAAGTACATCAAAATTTCTGTAATCAAAGATAACAGAAGACTTAAAAATTTATATTACTGAGTACTGTCAAAGACATTAGGTTTTATTACTTTCAAGTACATAAAACTTATTTAAATTAGGCTGACAAAATTCACTAAAAACTCTAGATTGGCTAGGGCTTAAAGAGACCTGTTCTAGTGGGGCAGCTAGGTGGCACAGTGAATAGAGTACCGGACCTGGATTCAGGAGGACCTGAGTGCAAATCTGACCTCAGACACATAACACTTACTAGCTGTGTGACCCTGAGCAAGTCACTTAACACCACTGCCTAGCCAAAAAAAAAAACAAACAAACAAAAAAAAGAGAGACCTGTTCTAATAAATTGATAATAACTGAAATGTAGTCTATCATTTTTAGGCTTATTGATACCTTGAAATGAAATGAGATTTTTTTCCTCAAGTGTTTTAATCAGATCAGATAATCACAGAGCCAGAAGGGAGGTAGTAGCTTCAAGTGTAATTATTATTTTATCTAATTTAACATAAATATTTGAGAAAAAGACTTCACAACCACTTCAGAAGCATTACTATCCTTAAGTTTTCTTAATATTAATTTATCTTAGCCTATGAATAAATAATACATTAAAAGAAAATCAAATTCAGCTCAATCCCTATTCTATATTGATAATGAATGAAGCATTAGATGTGTCCGTAAGATTTTACTCTATTGTTGATACTTAAAATATACAGATGTTCCTCATTGATGATAATTATGTTCCTGAAGTGTTTTTTAACAGAGATTAGGCATCTTAAGTAGAGTTCCTTATCTAAAACTCCTCACGGTGAATACATTTTCATAAAGCAAGTTACCACAGCTCTTTGCTTACCTTAAGATAGAACTGCACTTTTATTTTTGTTTGTTTTAAATGATAAACATAAGCACTATTGGTGTGTGTAGGAGAAACCTAATAAACTAAATTATTTACATTTCTCCAAGTAGTTTTCTGATCTTGTTAACGTCCACAAATTTTCAAGTAGTTGTAATAATTGAGTTTGTGCTATTTAAGTTTACTTTTTTAGAGCCAAAAGAAGAAATGTAGCTAGTGAAAGAGATACTTATCTATAAGATACACCTACTGGAAAAGGAAAACGATTCATAGTAATAGGAAAACTTGCTTTTTATTAACCCTGTTATCCTTATTATTACAACTGGAAAACTATACCCTGTATCTGTGTACAATTAAGATTAAGTCATTTCTCCTTAAAAGAGTAATAGGACTACGGGGTAGTGGAAAGAGCAATGGACATGGAGCCAGAGGGCCTGGATTTTCTTGGCTTTGCTACTAGGCCAACTGTGATACCTTGGGCATGTCATGTAATGTCTCCGAGGATCAGATTTTTCCTCTGAAAAAATGAGGGAGTTGGATGAGATGATCTATAAGGCTTCTTCCAGCTTTAAATCCTATGACAATCTGCTATTAATAAATGATGATTGTTTTTAGTCTAAATTTTATTTTTCTATCTTAAGTCCAATCTATTTTCCAATCCATTGAAGTCTAATTCAGTTTATGAGGGAGATGTGCTTCACTTTGCTAAAGAGCAAATGACAAACAGTTAAAATCTCATCTCAGACACTGATTCATGGTGTGATCATTTGCTTTCACATGGTTGAACATGTTCTCAGAAATAGAATGATTAATCTGGCTCTATTGTTTCTGTTGAACTGACATATAGAAATCACTACTCATCATATCTCCTCACACTCTTATTCCTTGCTACAATTTCTTCCCCTCTCTTGTTTACCTTTCAAGCAGTTGCAGATCAACCACATCTGTTGTAAGCATGGCACTCAGCCAAGAAAGAAAATTAACTCCTATATTCACAGTTAAGTTAGTCCTTTTCTTTTCCTTTTTGTTTGCCCATGTCTCTTTTCCTCATACCTAACCCTGAATAAGAGGAAACCAAAATGGATACTGTATTAGTTTTCAACAAACTGACAAGAGAAATATAATAGTTAACATCCATTTTCAACATAAATCTAAAGTAACACCTTAAAAAACCGTATCAAGCATCATAAAATCACCTAATCACATTCACAATCAGTTTGGCAAAATAACTATTTTACTAGCTATTACTTATTTAATTTTATTACTACTCCTTTGTATTTTCCCATGTTTTGTTTCATAATTCTAAAAATGTTACATTTGGCTGGTACTTTTATTAACACTGATTAGAATGCTTCAAAACCATTATATTTTGCAAATTTTATAAATGAGAAAATTTCATCTTAAGGACCAATATAAAATTCCAAAGGAAAGACATATTTTGGACTAACAGAAAACACTTTATACTTCTCTGAGACATATCAACATAAACACCTTAGAGAATATTTTCCAAATTACAGGGAAAAAATGTATTCCACATGGGCACAGTTTTTCATTCCTGCGCAAAACACACACATTAATATGGCAGATCAAAGACAAACTAGGTAAAACTTTATTTCGAGGTGATCAATAGTCATATACGATATTCAAATGAATTTTTTAAAATCATAGCATTACTGTTGTTTACATCTTTATCAAAATTAACAAATTAAATTTAGAAATCTGACAGAGAAAAATCTGTGAAGAAACATGAGCGACTTTGTTTCTGAAATGCTTCTATAAAGTGAGAGTATAAAACAACATAAATGATAGTTCTCAACTCTCTTCCAAAGGCAAGACTATACACATTGCTCAAAATAAGAACTAACATTAGCTTTTCTGGAAAGTTAGCTTGCAAATGAAAAGGAGAAACCCAAATCCGCATACTGTAAATGCTGCCCTCTTCAAAAATCTGGTATTCCAGGCAGAATATGTTTCTCTAGGCAGTACACGACAGGGATCATTTTTCTGGTCATTTTGCAACTAATATTTGATATGAGAAAAGAAATAGAAATTAGTGAACTAAAATATAATAATTTCTAAAAGAAGACATTTGATATTGAAAACCTCAAGGGTGAGTACAGCTCATCTAACCCAAAGGCTTCCTCAAAGGGTGCTGTTGTTTTTTACTTCATATGTGACTTAAAGTGGCATTATAGTAATAGATTAAAGCTCTGCTATTCTTAATCAAGGAAGACTTTCAATGAAGATAAATGCCTTTTAAAACATTCTAAATGACTTTTGATAATATCCCATTATGAAAAAATGCATGAACATTATATTAGAAATAAATAATTTCATATATAAATGTATCAAAAGTTTCATTTGAAATTGGTTAGAAAACTGATGTGAGGCTTGAAACAAGTTACCTAATAGGAATGCTGACTGATAGACACTATATCATCTTCCCTTTAAGTATCAATGATATACAGAACAATATACGATTATAAAATATTCCTACAGAAAATCTGTACTCTGAAATTTATCCAAGAGTTATTGAAATTAGATATTTAAACCCTGTTTTTAATTAAAAAATTTTAATGGCTGCTTTAACACCTCTTTGGAAAAAACTTATTTTGTCCAACTTTGACAGACCCCTTCAAACAAATTCCATGTTGAGGATCCCACATTAACACACAAAATATAAAATTAAAGATCTTTAAAAGATAAAAAATGTCCAGGCACTTTTATAGAGTGATATTTGCTGGAAACATCTTGTGCTGGACTGGTGCTATAAATACTTTCAACTTAGCAGAAATAACTACTTCTAAAACCTACAATGTAAATATTTAAGGAAAGGAGTCTGCAAAATTAATTTTAAGTTACAGTTGAATAAAGGACTTCAATGCCAATCTCATTAATACTATATTCTTTAGCTTAACTTCCACATGGCTTCATTCAGTAACAGATTCCTTTTTGACACTGATGCTCCATTTACCGAATCCTGGGATGGTCATTCCTTTTACTAACCAATTACTTAAACTGACCCTTTCTGACAAGAGCCTGTCATTGTGTTGGTTTGAAAGTGAGTGATGTGGTGTTAACGTCTAGCCTTGACCTCTCCCCTACCCTCTTTCTTTGTCCTCCGTACACTTATCTCTGATAACTCATACCTTCCTGAAAAAAAGTAAGTACTCGCTAGTCATTATTAGTATCTTTTGCACTATAAAAGGAATAGTGGCTGAGTCCCCAAATCTTGTAGCCTTGACACTCCCCCAAATCAAAATCTCATGACCACTTGTTTTGAGAAAAGCACAGATATGCTTCTAGGCAATGACCCAAGATATTGGCTCTATAAATTACTTTAAATGTTTTTGCCCCCCATGGTATCATACAGATCCACAAAGTATTTGCTTATTTCATGGACATAAATGTATTAAAATCAGACTTTATGAAAAAAAATAGGACTCTGACCAAACCAGGGAAACAGAAAATTTCTGACTAAGAATTTTAAAAAATGAATATCAAAATCCCTGATTATATTATAATTGCTGTATTTTGGAACCTTAGTTCCTTAAGTAATGGTTCAAAATGTTTTCCATCTAGTAATCACATTCTCCTCACTCCAAAGTGTCAAAATCCTCCAAGGGGGGAAAAAATCATCTTTCATTTGGAGGGTCTACTGTCAAATATATTAGGAGCTCTATAATTTTGATTTTGTCATGGCCATTACTGGAAGCCAATGTTACAGACAAGGAAGTATGGAGTATATGAACTTAAAGCGATTTAAGAATCAAAAGATGGTGGTTACATACATATATGGTCTCTGAGGCCCCTTACAGCTTTAGTTCTATGATCCATATATAGTTCACAATTCAAGAGTGACATCAGTAATCAGGTGTTTAGTGGTTTACATGAACAGGTTCTATCAATCACTCTAAATTTTTTTAGACCTAAGTTTGACAAATACAGCTTTAAAATAAATGCAACTCCAGAAAGTATTCTCCTTTGCTTCTCTGTACCTGAAGTGGCTTGTCTGGTTCTATAAATTTAGATTATGGTGACATCAAGCTTAAGCTCTGTCCATGAATAACTGGAAGATATTTCCTTTCTTAAGATGTTCCCTGACTCCTCCTCTTAGGAAAGTAAAGTTTTTGTATGGAATTTGTAGCATATGGATCTACTAGTCTTTTGTGTTTTTTCTTTTTTTGGGGGAAGGGTTGTTTTGCACAAAATTTATTGGCATTTACTTATATGGAGAAGTTATTACTAACCATGCCTCTGGAATCCTACTCCCAAATCTTTTCGAAGTATTGAGATAAACTTTAGTTTTCAAAATCTATTGTCAGTGAAGTGCTAGCTTTTAGTATGGTCTTGAGAGCAGATTAATATTTAATTTGAGGGATAGGGTTAGCTAAGTTTAGGGAAGCTCATTACCAGTAGGCTGGCCACATAGTGATGATTCTTTGGCCAAAGGAATCCATGAAATTAAAGTATAATTTTAGAAATTAAGAGAAAAATACAAAGTAGCCTCTAGTCTTATGTAAAACCTCTTCTACTTCTCCTATGAAGATAACAAAGTGACAGGGAAGCAGACAACTGAGTTCTACAAATCATGATTTCTGAACTTTTAATAGACATTGACTGCTGGTACTATAAATGTGAAATATTTGTCCAGTGAAAAAGGAGGACCTCAATCACATCAATGTTTAGATACTTGCTAATAATACCATCTAGTTCTCCTTGTTTTTGTGAAGATAAAGTGAGTTAACATATTTAAAATCCTTTGTAGACCTTAAAATGCTCTATAATGCTAGCCGTTATTAAGATTACTGCTATAAATGAAAACAAGAGGTAGTTAGAACTAACTGGAAAATAGTTCATGATCCTCCAAAGACGAAAGTAAAGAGTCAGTGGAATTGGTTTGATATTTCTAAAGGCAGTAAGAAGCATCATTTCATGGGACAGATAGTTGTATTATTCTGCAGTGCCCAAGATGAATATGAATAGACAAACTTCGTCACCCCAAATCATCATGAAGAGAACTTATAGCAAAAAGTTTGTAGGTGATGAGGAGGTAGAGAAACTCTCTCTATATACTATATATGACAATCTAAATTAAACTGGTGCATACTTTAATGCTTGGTGACGTCAATGCAAAAGTGAGCATACGGAATGATAGTGAAAATTATGTTGGAAAATATGGTTCAGGAGACAGAAATGGGAGGCTAGAAGTTCACAGAGGCTATACAGTAGCCTCTCACCTCTATTCATGAATACTGTCTTCATAAATAAAGTAGGCACTGTGCATGATGAACATCAAATAATACCTCCCCCAAAATAAAATAATTGTATTCCAATACACAAGAAACACCTGGTTACAGACATGGGACTAATTTTCACATCATCTGTCTGTACACAGTCCGATTCTGACCTTGTTATATGCAAACAGCAATGTTAACATAAAATTAGAAAAATAATTAAAAATAAGTGGATATGGAATTCAATTCAGACAACTCCAACCTAACCTATTTAAAAAAAATAAAAATCAACAGATATTATCATTTCCCAAAGAAATTTAAATGATATAAAGCAATTGCTCCAGCAAGGATATCAAAAGAGATTAGAACGTATTTCAATGTGACTTTCTTGCCAGGAGAAAGATGGAAGCCATGGGTAACACTGGTGTAGAATATAAACTTGTTTGTAAAATCTTATGAAGGATGGTGGAAGACAATGAGTAGAGTCATCTCATAAAACAGAAACAGTCAAAGGAAAAACAAGTTTATAGGAAATTGTTAAGAGACTCAAATAGCAGAATCAACTTGAATGCATTTAAGAATGAAATTAGAAGGGCAAGAAACTGATGAAAAATTAAAAATATCTGTGAAGATTTTTATAACAAACTCTTTACTCGCAATACAATGGCTCCATTATATTTGAACTCAACATAACAGGCTTAGATTTCAAGTATGAGGAAGGAGACACGGCATTAGTGGAAAACCAGATAAGATGGATAGCTAGATTAACAAATGTATAAGAAGAGATCTGTGGTAGAGGTGCTCCAAATAAGATTATAAGATCAATTCTCCAGATACAGGAAAGAAGCTTAAAAAATCCCAAAATAAACACTACCTTCTAAATACCAATAAAGAGTGACCAAGAAAATATCAGTAACTATTAACCCATAGGCCTAATTCCCCATCTCTGTAATATATAGGAGGGTTCAGAGGACCAATTGATGATGGTGTGAGAAGAGAATGGGCAGGCTTTTCCAAACAATATTCCAAAGCAGAATATAACTTTACACTCACATACTTGATATAAAGGCGAAGTGAATATATGATTCTATTGTGCTCATTATTTGTTGACTATAAAAATGTATTTGATTTGGTAGAGCAAAATGCCACTCTACCAAAAACAAAATGTCTATCAAACATGTTATATGTTGTTACTTCTTTTAAGTAATCTTGATAAAGTGGCATTTTGCTCTACTAAACTAAATCCCTTTTCATGGTTAATGAATAAACACAATAGAATCATGTATTCACTTCATTTTTATGTCAATTGTTTGAGAATAGCTCTAACGTTAAATATAAAATTCCTTGAAAGAAGTAACAACAGAGGTAAATTTGATAACCACCTGTTTACCAAACATGGTATATAAATAGACAGATTCTCCCACAAATGTCTGCCCACTTCCACAAATGATACACAATTCAGAGTCCAAGTAAAAGAGGGTTCTAGATGATGAGCTCTAAGAGATGCTCCAGTTTTTAGAGGACATTGTAATGAAGAGATCAAGCCCCAGAAAACTGCAGAGCCTTCTAAATGAGATTATTTATCACTCAAAAAAATCTGACATAATTATATAGCAAAAAACAAGTGCATGAATGACTATTTTCTAAACTATGATGGGTAAACAAATACACAACTCATAGTCCATCAGTACATTTATCTTATACCAACACTGGGGTTATGAACTAGTCCCAGAATTGAATACGAAGAAGGAAAAGAGCTGCGTAGTGTTTGGAAAACCATACAGTGCTTTTAGTGACCTCAAGCTGCTCCTTGAAACAAAGGCCCATAACATCAAAATTCTTCCTGTGATGCTGTATGGCAGTCATGGAAGACCAATCTCAGATGAATTCATGGTTAGGATCACCCAAAGGGCAAACTAGAGGTAAATGGTGGGGATGAGAAGGCTGAAACATTACTGTTGAGGAGTTGGGGGTAAATGGAAGTAAGTGGAATAAAGGATGCCCCTCAGACAGATCTATGACTAGAAAATGAGGTGAACCAAAGCCTCTATATGCCTTTGTTATTCATGGAATATCAGAACATCTAGACAAAGTTTCCTTAAATAGTGGGTGGACAGTAGAGAATTATAGGAGGACAAGAGCAAGAGTCACAAAAAATGAGATGGTGTGAATGGATTTAAATCTTCACTAATAGAGGAAGTAACCACATGAATGAGATGATATACGCAGTGAGATACTACTATGCATCACTATCTTTCTCCCTAAGTTGTACTTTGGAGTTTCTTGACCACGCACCAGAAACATCTTCATCCTGAATGCTTACTCCAGCTCTGAAATTCACACATTAGAAGTATCTTCATCCAGCAGCCTTTCCCTCTGACTGGCTGGATCCTCTCAAATACTGCATTTAAGAAGGTGCCCAGGACTTATTCCTTTCTAGGATCCACTCCAGACTTTCTCCACTATGCCTCTTGTTTCTAACCTCTCCTTTATAGCTTCCTTTTATGGGTTGAATTCCTCCAATAGAATGGAAGACCCTTCAATGCAGACTGTCTTTCTGCTTAATTCTGTATCCCCAGTGCTTAGCACAGTGCCTGGCACATAGTAACCACTTAATAAATGCTTTCTGACTGACTGATTTGGTTCGACTGCAAACTAGGAAATGATAAAGTAAAATGGTTTGGAGTTGCTGTGGACTAGTAAATATTTTAGGGCAAGAAACTTTTTGAAAATTATATTAAAGATTATCTTAGACTATTTTTATCTAAACTACATAAAATACAGGTATATTTTACTTTATAAAACAAATGTGCTCCTAAAATGTTTATGTATATCAAATTTATATAATAATCACTAAAAAATTGAGAGTTTATCCTAGTAATGAACTAAGGGAAAATCCTTTAACGATACAGATTATCATTTACTCAATTTGCTCTTTTCCAATAAACTAAATTTCATATATCCATTTTTTTTTTTGCTTTTTGATGAGGAAATTGGGGTTAAGTGACTTGCCCAGAGTCACAAAGCTAGTAACTGTCATGTGTCTGAGGCTGGATTTGAACTCAGGTCCTTCTGACTCCAAGGCCGGAACTCTATCTACTGTGCCACCAACCTGCCCCCTATCCATTCTTCTTAAAGCAAAAAACTCATATACTTGTACTCAAGACAATCTAATTTGTCATTTTACAATGTAAATACATACCTTCTGAATTAAGTCTTTTAGTTTACAGACTTCTTCACCCAGATCTTCAACATTACAAACCAAATTTTCACAAACTGATGTAAACCTTTGGGAGGATCCCCATTCTAGTACTATCTGTTAAGATGGCCAAAATGTATGTTTTAGAGAATGGAAAACAACTGCTGCCAACTATATACATATAAATACATTTCTTAAAGTAAACAACACATATTATAGGTGTAAGGGTAAGAACTAGACCTGTGATTTTACTGATATAGGGAATTCCCAGATGAAGATTCTATCAATACTGGCCAGTACCTTCTGTGTAACTTAGAGAGCTGTCTAGTGTCAAACTCCGCAAAACACTGCTATTTGAATCAGATTAAAATGTAATTGGAAAATGTTTTACAAAATAAAAAAATACAACAAAACACAGATAATGTTAATTTCTGGTTTTCTAAGTTGATATGTGGCATTTAGGAATAAAACATATTTGAGTTTGACATTATTGGTCTAGAACACTGAGAGGTTAGGTGACTAGTCCAGGGTCACAAAGACATTTGTTTTGTTCATAATGAACAGTGACAATGAAACTTAATCAAAGTACAGAAAAATAAATTAACTTTTAAATACAGAATTAAAATAGCCTTTATATTTACTAGGTTTGTATTACATATGGGTATATAAAGCACATCTATGTGTAGATGCACATTTTCATCAAATCACCCTATGAAAACATAAACAAAAACTAAGTTTCTCATACTAGAGTCACAAATGATATAGAAATATTCTAGAGAAGCCCTGACATTTTAAACCATACACAAAAATTGATGAACCTAATGAGCAGACAAACTATAAGGTATCCATTGTCATAGGCTTCCACTAAATGGTTTCCTATTTTAAAATTGTGATCATTTCCAAATATAGTTTTTTTCCAAAATTTCTCACGAAAGATTGTAACACTAAACACAATATCTTGTTTCAACTTCCACTTGGACTTTATGTTTTAAACAACTGAATTATCAATCAGGAAAAAAGTAGTTTTACTCATTCATTAATCACTTGTTCAAAATTTAGTCCAGGTAATTATCTTTTTAAAAGTTGGAACATATGCGTGTTTTAGGTTGGTTAGCAGGAAACAAAACAGAAAATTTTAGCAGATTATTGAGCATGTATTTCATATAATTATGGGGATTTATATAATTTCACCAAATCACTGTTTTTTCATTTATAATTAAGTTACTTTAAATACAGTTGACCAGTTATTTTCATTTAATGGTATATTTTGCTGATTACCTTATGAGAATTTACTGGTAACTGGTTAATTATGTTCTGCACTGCTTTAGTTAAATGACCACACTGTTTGCTTAATTTCAGCAGGAAATTGAGGAACTCATCACCACTAAAAGGGAAAAGAGAACAAAATAAGAATTACTTGAACAACCAAGTTGTTTGTCAGTTCAACAATTTGATCCAATACATTATAACTGCCATAATGTACAGATCACTCTCTTGGGCTCTGTGGGAATAACAAATTGTAAGATCACTTCCTTCATGGAGCTTGCCATATAATAAGGGAATACTGACACTATGCAAAAAAACCCATAATACAAAACAATACAAAATAAGAGAGGCTGCGATTATTACCTTATGGCAAGAGGGTTTCATGAAAAAGGTGACATATGACTGGGCTTTCAAGGACCGGCTCAATTTCAATAGCTGGAGGTGGAAGGAGAGATTACAATCCAGGAACAGGGACAACACAAGCAAAGATATAAGAACCGGAAAGTGGGAAAGGGGAATAGTGAATGCAGTTTTATTGAAGCCTAGAATATATACGAGATATGTTATGAGATAAAGCTGGAATGGCAGGGTGGTACCATATGTAGCAGCTAGAATGTCAGTAAGATATTGAATTTTATTTGGAAGACAGCAAGAATTACTCAAGAACTTTGGGCAAAGGAGTGATATGACAGATTTACAGAAAAGAAGATTAATCTAGCAGTGAAATGAGCAGGCTGCAATGAGAGCTTGTACTAGTGTAATAAAAGAGAACACAGAAAATAGATAAGAACAGCATTGATGAAGTAGAATTGGTAGTAATCACTTATATGGAAAAGGTGAGAGAAAAGGAAGACTTGGAGATAAGACAAAGAATTTAAACACAGATTAAGTAATGGTAATGAAACATATATATATATATATATATATATATACACACACATATCTGAAAAATATATAGAAAGTTGAAAAGATTTTGGTAGAAAGATAAAAAAGTGAGTTATTGATATGCTGGATATGAAATTATGGAGAGTCTTCAAGATGGAGCTATCATGTAGGCAGTTGGAAAAAAGAGTCTGCATTTTGAGAGGTCAGGGCCAGATATACAGATACATAGGATTCTTATCTGCGGAGTTAAAAGTTGAAGTCATGGAAGTTACTGAGGCTAAGGGGAAAAAATAAAAAGAACTTGGAACCCTGGGGATTCTCATTTTAAGAGGGAATCCAGGCAATCCAGGCACAGAGAAGAAAAAAGCCAACATAGGAGGCAGTAAAAGATCAGTTAAAGGAAAATTAAGAGATTCATTGTAGAAAGTCAAGGAAGGAGAGATTATCCAGGAAGAAGGGGTGGTCAGTAGCATCAAATATTATATAACGGTCAATGGTAATGAAGGCTGAGGAAGGACCATTGGACTTAGCTCTACGCATGTAACTGGTAAGCTCTGAAAGTAGCTTTAGCAGAACAGTGAGAATGGAAGGCTATAGGAGTTAAGGAAATGAAACTATAAGGTATAAACTACTTTTTATAAGTCTAGCCATGAATAGGAAAAGAAAGCTAGGTAGACACCTAGATGTGACAGAAAGTTCAAGGAGAGATTTCAGAGGATTGGGGATATCTGATAGTACTTAGTTATTTTAGAAGGAGCCAGTGGTGAAAAAGTGACTGAAGATGTACAAGACAGAGTGAACAGAAGACTGATTGCTGGGGGTAAAGTTATGTGGGAGGTGGGAATGGGATAAAGAAAAAAAAAGAAGATATCCGAGGGGCAGCTAGGTGGTGCAGTGGATAGAGCACCGGCCCGGAAGTCAGGAGGACCTGAGTTCAAATCCGGACTCAGACTAAACACTTGACACTTATTAGCTGTGTGACCCTGGGCAAGTCACTTAACCCCAATTGCCTAAAAAAAAAGAGAGATATTAGCCTTGGTAAGGAAAAGAACTGTCATATTCCTCAGGAGGAAAACAACAATAGCTAACAAAGTTTTAAGGAACAGAATGGGAAACCTAAAGAAACTCCTGCTGGACGCATCAATCTTCTCAGTTTAGTAGTAAGCTAGGTCATTTGTTTCTTTTTGGGGAGTCGAAGTCTAGAGAAACTAGGAGGCTTGAGAAAAGGGAAAAGTCTGGAATAGTTTGCTTGAAGAATGAGTTGGGGAATTAATATAGCAAAGAAGGACTATACATACAGTATAAAAGTACAGAATGGCCTTGAGCAGCAGATAAGGTATAGCTAAGGTCTTATGTAGCCTTATGTAGGTTAAAGTGTGATTTTATAACTTTTTTTGCGGAAGCTCAATGCCCTGGGGAAATAGGAGGAAGTAGATAGTGGATATCACTGAGGGGATACAGCTATCATACACTGTATTCTATCCAAACTAGCTCCCTGTACACGACACATAACACTAAGATTGCAAATAAGATTGACTGGGTAAATGGTGGCACTACTGACAAACAGTGAAGTTAGAAGTGGCATTATTTTGGGGAAAAGTTAATAAGTTTAAGTTTAGATATGGTAAAAATGAGTTACCAGAAGGATATACAGATGAAGGCAATCAAGGTATGGAGGATGAGAAAAAAGGTCAGGCTGGAGATACAGATTTGAGAATCACTTTCAGAAAGTGACAGCTGAAGCTATGGGAATGAATGAAATTACCAAAGGTGGAAGTGAACAGAGAAGGAATCATGGGGAACATTTACATTTAAGGAGCTGGGAAAGGTCACTCAAAGAGCCAGAGAAACAATAGTTAGAGGGGTATAGTAGGAACAAGAAAAAAGTACTGGCAAATGAAGGAAAGAAAGAATTTGGTCACAAGGAATGAGTAGCCCATAAGTGTAAAAAATTCTTGCAAAAAAATCAAGGAGGACAACGTGGAAGTTATATAAACTGATGACAGAATTGATGATTTTTGAGTGAAAAATTTCAGTAGTGCAGCGAAAACAGAAACTAGATAATAATTCATAGCTAACATTTACAGCACTTGTTATGTGCTAGGCACTGTGTTAAACACTTTACAATTATTATCTTATTTGACTCTCACAATAACCCTTGGAGATAGTTGCTATTATTATCCTCAATTTACAGATGAAGAAAGTGAGGCAAACAGAGGCTAAGTGACTTGCCCAGGGTCTGAGGCCAGTTTTTAATTCAGTTCTTCCTAACTCTAGGCCCTGTGCCACCCAGCTGCCTTAAATTCTAAGGGAAAGTAGGCTCCGCGAATAAATAAGGAATATGATGCATTAGGTCTGATAACATTGTCTTTTCCTAAGCGACTTGCCCAGGGTCACAAAGCTAGTGTCTGAGGCCACATTTGAGATCAGGTCTACTCCTGACTCAAGGGCCAGCACTTTATCCACTGTGCCACCTAGCTGCCCTGTCTCATTACATTTTTAAGAAATCTGTTAGTGAAAGAAAGCTGAAGTGATAATTGGATGGGGTAGAAGGACTGAGATAATGCCAGGCCTTGACTCTTTACTCGACATACTTAAACAATCCATAAATCCTGTCATTTTTGCTTCTACATCTGTTCCATTCTCACTACTGAAAACTCCATTTTGCTTATATGTAAAAAGAGAGAGAGAGAAAATGTGAGTGTGTGTATGCGCGTGCGTGCACATATGTCTACGTGCGTATTGTTTGATTTTTAAAGTCTTAATCCAGAGACTTACTGTGTGTGGTTTATAGCATGGAGGTAATGCTGGCTTCTTGAAGGCTACGTCAGCAGAGTTCAGTCATGCAGCCAATAAATTAACAAGTATTTATTAAGCACTTGCTTTGTGCCAGGCACTGTGCTAGACCACAGAAACAAGACAAAATGGAACAGTCTCTGCCCTCAATGAGTTTATATTCTATGAAGACAATTTGTATCTATATAAGTATATACAAAGTAAATACAAAATAAATACAAAGTAGATTAGGGAGAAGTTCAGAACTAGTTGCTAGGGATATAAAAAAAGGCTTCTTGTAGAGTGGAACTTGAGCTGAGTTTTGAAATAAGTGATTTTACAAGGTAGAGCAGAAGACAGAATACATTCCAGGTGCTGAGGACAGCCAGTGCACAGGCAAGGAGACAGAAGATTTATGTGGGTCTTATGTGAGAAACATGAAAGCCAGTTCAGCCAGACCACAGAGTATGGGAAGGAAGAATATTGACTAGAAATGCTGATTACAGACTGTAAAGGAGCTTTTTCAAAAGGCAAACAGGATTTTATAATTCATGCTAGAGGCAGCAGAGAGTCACTGCAGTTTATTGAGTAGAGGAATGAAATGGTCAAATTGAGGAAAACCACTTTGGCAGCTGTGTTGAGGATGGATTGGAGTAGGGAGTGACTTCAGACACAGTGGCAATTAAGATGATGAGGCCTTAACCTGAGGTAATGGTTTATATAGTAGACAGAGTATTGCATTTGGAGTTAGAAAGACATAAGTTCAAATCGCATTGACATTGTGTAACAATGGACAGATCACTTAATATTTCTCAACTGCAGTTTCCTCATCTGTTAAATGGAATAACTATATTAATAATAGCTAGCATTCATAAGGCACTTTAAAATTTGCAGAGCCATATAGTGTACCTACTTTACAGGGTTATTATGACATAATGTATGCAAGTGTTTTGTTAATTTTAAATAGTCATATAAATGTTAGTTATGATTATGAATATATTCATTATCATTGTCTTGTCTGATATGGTTCACTAGAATGGCTCTGAGATATTATTTTACATTTATTCTTTTGTATTTAATGCACAGGAAGATGAAGATAAAGTAACTGCTTTTTATAGTTGAATAAAAGTAGGTTCACTGATAACATCCTTGGTACACTGCTAGAAATAGAAAGCAAAAGGATATGTATCAATCCTGTTCCATGATTCTTAACTCCAGTGCAAGATTTCTATACTTGAAAGCTCTTATTCCTTGTAGCATGAACATTTGTTATAGTGACATCTATTTAAAAATCTTAAAGTTTCTGTGAATGAATGAAAAAGCATTTATTAAACATTTACTACATGCCAAGCGCTGTCCTAGGGACACAAATAGAAGATCAAGGCAGTTCCTGCTCTCATGGAGCTCATACTCTAATTGTAGAAATAACACATATTAGAGGAGGACAGACTGTGAGGC